AGGATGATATACGAACCTGGCCAATCCAAATGATCCCGAACTTGCCAGCACAAGAAAACAATGTGGACTGTGGAATGTTTGTATGTAAATATATGGAAACAGTTATACAATATAATAATATTGAATGGGACATGCATAACAACTGGCAAAGTAATATGGCCTTATTTAGGGCTGAATTTGCATATGCAATTTTTTGTAATACCATAAAATAAATTTATAAATTTTCATCTGCTATTTCTGTGTTTTATTAACTTTGATTATACCGAGTTACTCATACTACAAATAGAATACAACACATACTCTTAGATAAAGTAAAAATCTTTACAACATAAACCCAAAGATAGTCTAAAACTGATTATTACATAGTTATACCGAGTTATACCGAGAATAAAATTTGTCGGTATAACTCGGTATTGCTCGGTATTTGTTATTCATTTACTACTTCGTATTGTAAGTACACCAATTCCATAGTTTTTGTATTCAAAATCTAGTTGTACCGAGAATAATAATTCTCGGTACAAATATTCTTTTAAATTCTCAGTATTTTGGTATATCCATTTCTTCATACATACAGATATAGTAAAACTTACAATGCAAATCAAAGACAAAATATTACTCTAATACCGAGTATTAAATGCTAATACCGAGTTTTACCTAGGCATAGAGACATGTTGATAACACTTACATAAACGATGACTGACTTCCAGATTCTGCAGGTGTAAAATATAAATGTGTAGGGGGATTATGCTCTGTCAGTTTAACTTTTTTGGGCTTCCTCTTCTCCCAATGATCCTTTAATCTAGCATTAGAGACTCCCTTAGGCCGTCGCTTTGCAGGATCTCTAATTGTTTTGTGGATGCCTTCAGTTATGCGTTTATTTCTTTTCCCTTCCATAATGTTTTGAACGTTTAATGTCAATGCACTCATACCATCGATCATACATTGTTCTGCATACTCATTACCTTGTGCTTTGGTGCTAATTTGATATACAAATCGACATACATAATTTCTAAAAATAATGTTTCGGGAAACTTGATTCCATGTGCACATACTCTGAGCCATACGTTGGATATTCACTCCACTATATATATCGTTCCGTGCAGTAGATGACCATCTTGGAATTAAGTATTTCTGAGGAATATTACTAACATCCAACTGACTCATCACTCTCATGCAATGAGAACACAGTATTCCCATCATCTCGAACTTTGCACAGCTGCATTGTATAGTTCATTCAGATGAATTAAACAAAACCGTCACTTGTGTGAATCAAAAGTATGGTCCATGTTCTTGACAGAAAATGTTGATGAGTCTGGTGAAGAGTGATTAATGGATAGTCCACCTAAACCATTTAAAAACTTCTCTTCAAAAAAGAAATATAACTTTCTTGAATAAAATTTGGCTGCTTGCTTTAATATCGGACTTTTTTTCATGTACGGTTGTATTTAGCTTTGAAAACACCTAAAAATTTCATCTCGTTCATTTCTACGCCAAGTGTTTATAAGTTTCTCCAATCCAAGGAAACATTCGGTGAGAGAACTTGTAGCTTTTGAAATACCATGGCAAACAAAATTGGTGGACTCACTACGTTGTGTAGACAATATTCCAAGGTTAAAGCAATCTTTGTTGAAAATTGTAGACCACTTTTCCCTTATTCTGTACAAATCTTTTAACCACTGATGGCTCTGTAGGTCTCCTTCTCTAATCATCTCATTCCACAATCTATCAAATTCATCCGCGGAATCACACTTGGTGAAGCAACTATAGAAAAGGCCTTTCACTTTGCTGTTACTATTAAAACACCAAACTTTGGAAGGAGTCTTCTTCTGTATATGCCATTGGCACAACCGATGTCTTGTATTAGGGAATACAATCTCTATCGCCCTAGCCATTGCTTGATCCTGATCAGTGAATATAATAACTGGATGTTTATTATCCATAATTTTTAAAAATGTTCGAAATAGCCAACAGAATGAATCAATTGTTTCATCAGATAGAAATGACACCCCTAATATAATATTTTGCCAATGATTATTGACGCCAATAATAGGGGCACATGCTAAATTATATTTGTTAAAACGGTAGCTAGTATCAAAAATAATGACATCGCCAAAGCAGTCGTAATCCACTCTCCCCAAACCATCAACCCAAAAAAAATTTACCAACCTTTCATCTTCATCAGTTTGCACATCCCATGCAAACATGTTGTCTTCAGCTGCCCGGTTTTTGAGCAATTCAATTAGCGAATTGCTATCCCCATTCTCAATTTTTGCTCTTCTCTCCTTTTGAATGTAGTTGTATGCATCTCTTTTGGTAAACCCCAAATTTTCTACACCTCCAACCTCCTCCGATAAATAGGAAAATGCATTTATAGTTCTTATTCCCGCATCAGCCATTGATTTCAAAACGGAGGCATTTTCTTCAATGATGTGCCTAGATGATCTCAGCAAATGTTGATCATCAGGTTTTGTCAATTCATGGTTGTGAGTTTCTACCGAATTTTTCACCGTCCATATTCCATCTACACTAACAGAAAATCTCACCATAGCAGGACATCCAGTTCTTGTACTTGATTTTCGAAATTTAACCTTCTGATTTTTTTCTGTCTTTTTTGAATCCAGATTTGGAACAGACAAAAATCTTTGATTTTAATTTCCTTGAATTAGAACGGTATGAAAGATGTTCTTTCCGAACACTAAAGCCATGCGTATGTGCATATTGGCAATATTTAACATATGCTTCCTGCTCAGATTTATAAACCCCCAGTGAAAAAAATTTCCAATACTATGAATGTGTACAACGGATTAAATACCTAATAATACACGAAAATACCCAACTGTACCGAGTTTTCTAAATGCTCGGTACAAACATATGGTTTTTATAATCGGCACATAGTAAACTTATCTGACAGAAAACAAACAAGAAAACTGACCATACCGAGTTTTACGTATAAATACCGAACTATACCGAGTTAGATAAAACTCGATATAAAGATATTATTAAAAACTCGATATATACAAGACAGAAGTGATGTAAACATGCCAAAAACTTATCCATACCGAGGTATACGTATAAATACCGAGCTATACCGAGTTCTCAAAAAACTCGGTACAAGTTCATCAAAATTATAATATCGGTACAAAAATCATTTTTCAAATAATATAAATAAATCTCGAGCAGTACCTAGTTATAAAAAGGTTCGTTACAAATTTATCATAATTATATTCCCGGAACAAATAAGCATACCGTATATTACATATAATACCGAGCTGTACCGAGTTATAACAAGGTTCGGTACAAACAAAAATGATTTGATCAGAAGAAGATGAATGAAAAATTACTTGTAAAAAAGCAGAAAAATCGTCATCCAGAGTATAAGTGCCAAATGTTTCGTCGAAATCATTTAACTCTTCCAAAGTAACAGAAACATTCTTCTCATCCATCGCTTTCAACGCTTCGAGCAACTTTTCTCTTCTACCTGTAAACCCTAAATACTGTATAACGTTCTGTGTACAGAAGCTAATCGGCCAAATGTTTATTCATGTAAAGGTGCCGCGTGTTTTAAAGTTTTCCCGCCCGTTTCAGCCAAATTAGTGAAAAGAGACGTGAAAATCATAATTACCACGAGTTTGGGTCAAGTCTTCGGGCTGCTACATAGCAACATTTGGCCAGAGGACCTAATAATTGTTCCCAAAAGAGGGGGAATTAGGGGAATTAGCCACCAGGCTCTTTGCCGTAGAGATTTCACTCTCCAATATTTTTTTAAAACATTAAAACTTCTTTTCTCGTTCATTTCAACAATATTTAAACTCTTAAATCAGGTCCTATAATTTAAAATTCAAAATATTGAGGAAAAAAATCAAATATAGAGAATCAAATAAGAAAATGGAATGGAGCCACTCCAATTCTCTCCAAGATTCTCTCCCCACATAGGTGACCAGCCCAAACACTTCCTAATCAAACCTAAACCTACTTAAAATAAAAGAATTCCAAAGTGTTCTACATGAAAATTTTAAATTAGAGGTTAAAATTTAAAAAAAAATAAAATTTTGAGTACAAAGATTAACTTTTTATTATAATTTTTTTGAGTTCCATATTAAGGATCTTTATTGATGCTTGCTTGATGATGATATATAGCCCTTGATCCTATGTTGAGCATTTGATATTGATTTTATAGAGGAGCCTTTAAATTAAGTTGATGTACTAAATCATTTTGTCGATTAGTGGGCAGGCTTCATTGTGAATTTTGTCACATTATACTGTAAGCTTCCCCTCTCATTTGCCCCCAAAAAAACAAAAAGGTTACCAATGTAAATTCTTAAACTTTAATTTTTAGTCATTAAGTTTCAAAGTAGCTGGTAAACAAAGGAAATGAACCAAAAACAGCAATATGGATCCATGCCCTCCTCCATCTTAGTTGCTTAGCTGATCAAAACAAAGGAAGGGCTTGCATTTATTGTTACAGAAACAGTAATTTGTTAGATCAAGGTTACTAATTCAAAAAAAAAGCATCCTCAACTTGCTCCTGGCTTTGCATTATTTTGTGACAAAAATGCCGCAGACTAGAAACATCGAAGACTTGCCATTATTTGTTCGACCAACTAGATAACATTGAAAACTTGATGACTTCAGTATTGAGTGCCAAACCTCCAGCGTTCATATGAATATAAATTCTGCAGTAAAGTGGCATAGGAAAAGAAAAGTCCTTTTGCCCTAAATTCTAAAGAAACGCTGCCATTGATTCATCATTCAGACAAGGATAATCACCGCCTCAAGAAAAACGGGGGAGCTGCCGTAAACCAGTTCCGCAACGAAATTTCATACCCTAAAAAAACTTTGAGCAAAAACAAGAAGATTTGATAAATACATGGCAGAGAAAGGGAACTCGGAACCTTTCATAGCTTGAAAGCGTCATTTCATTCATTAATGGTAGCTAACGAAGCATGGACAGGAATCTCCAAGGAAGGTAAAAACGGACAGGCAGGCGTAGGCAAGCGTACCTGCGAGGGTCCGGAAGCCATGGACCTCTCCTCCAGCTAGCGGAATCAGAGACGGATCCATTGCCAACAGGAGAAAGATGCCGCCGTAGGAAACCCTAAACGTAAAGAAGCCGACGGAGGACCGGAGTAGAGCTGACTGCTGAGTAAACCCCTGTCAATTATTTCTCCGTAGGCAGGTCAAAGCGAAAAGCACGCCAATTTCTCGGAGATCAGATAGGTTACCAGCAATTCAAAGCGATTTTCTCCTTCTCATGCTTAGGAAATTATTGTTTTGTCCGGACTCCAATTAAACTTTTAAAAATCGATTAGACATGTGATTCAATTAGATTTTTTTTTATATTTATGCCTTATCAGCTCGCTGACTTGACTCGATTAGATGAAAATTTTGAATTCTTAGGTATTCAAAAGCTTAGAGCTAGGTCATTTTATTTTTTATCCCGCATTTCACAGCTCACTCTTTCTCGCTTCACTACATTCCTTTGGCTTTTTTTTTTTATTTGAAGGGCTACACAAGGCAATTTATTAAAAGAGCTTAATTACAAACTACACTATCAAATTCCTCCTTTAACAAAGAAATAAAGGAGTAAGGAATTTTATTACAGCTAACATCATCCCAAATGAAATCAGAAAAATGAACAAAGTTAGCATATAGATTAGCCAACTTATTACAATTTCTATTTAAAAAATAATAAAACTTGATTAAAACAATTTAAAAAAGATAAATCCTCCATGGACATAATTTCCTTGCTCGGACACATCTTATTCAGCAAGCTTTGAATGGTTTTGATAACATTATAATCCTTCTATAATGATACCTTTTGCATCAAAAATCCAATCATGTACAACCTTCTTCAAAGAGGTGATAGCTAACATCTCTGGTTGTGATATGTCTTAGTGAATACCGATGAAACTAAAAGTTAAAAGGAATCTTCCTTTACAATCTCTTACCACCACCAATATTGACTTATTGACTTATTTGATTTCAATAAAGAGGCATCAATATTAATTTTAATCCATTTGGTAGGAGGAGTGTGCCAAAAGGAATGAGATAGCTAATGAGGCTAATTTGCACCCCGTGTTCCAAATACAGATTAAAAGTAAAAGAAGCAACAGCCCAGTTAACTGCAATAGAAGCCACAAACGAAAAACCATCTTCCTTCCGCCATGTATAAACTTGCTCCTGCTCTTCTAAGAAAAAAACACATTGAACAATACAAATTCCCAATGAAAGGATCAGTTGTTGATAAATTTTCCAATATCTTATTACAATCTTCAAGAGAATTGAAACCCGGCACAGCAAAACCCCATGTTTTAAGTAATTGAAATACATGACAAAACTTGTCACAGCCTACAGCAATATGATCTGCATTTTCCACAATGTTACAACCTCTCGGGCAGACATTGCAATCCAACAACCACATATACATTAGAAAATCATTAGGATTAGAAGGAATTGCATTGTTATTTAATCTCCACCAAAATAATTCAACCCAAGGTTTGAGCTTCAGTTATCTAATCCATCTCCAATAATTGTCTTCAACAAATTCTTCATACTGTTTAGACAAGGACACAATAGTGATTGATTTACCAGAATATTTGTAACATAGCTCCAATTCATCCCTCTGTACATCTGAATAGATCTTCTCTGATTTAATAACTTCCACCAATTATGTATCAAAGTACTTACATAGCTTAACTTCATTCCAGTTCCCATTTACTATAAATGCATTCAGATACCTGCATTCTTCATCCATTTCCACAACATAAGTGGGCCAATTTTGAATACTTTTATCAAGTAGCCATATATCATATAATGCATCCACTTGAGAACCCATAGACACTCTCCATCTAACAATACAAGCGGTGCAAAAATTTGTCACCACGTACAAACAAGTGCAAGAACTTGTTGCGCCTTTTTTTGTGCTTTTGCTGCATATTCATAGGTATCGATACTGTATTGTGTTCTATTTTAAAAAACTATGATGTTGTTGTTTGCTTTAAAATTTTTTAATTATGTTTGTTCATTTTAGCCTCGTTTTAACTACTCTTTAAGTGTAATTTCATTATGCATTAGCTTTCATGATATCAACTCATATAATGATTTCTTCAGTTTTCAAAAGTAAGTTGCATAGCTTTAAAATATTTGAGTATATTTTTTAGTAGCTATTTTCTTTACTCTTTCACTGTGCACTTGCTATTGCGCTTTAACCGCATTTTGAATACACCTTTACTTGCTTTAGTTGTGTTTTCACTGCATTTTAGTTGTACTTTCATTGTGCTTTTCCTTATATTTACTACTTTTTTATTTGTTTGCAGGAAAAGGTTTGAAAATTTATTTATATTAATTCTTTTGTTAATATGGACAGTGAATCAATATTTGTTCTTTATTTCGTTCGTATTAAAATGTATATGGGGATACTAAAGGATCTTTTGAGACCAATATAATTAAATGGAATATCCAAAGTGTCCGTAGAATTTTCAATATTGCATTCCTTCTTTAATATAGCAAGAGCGGAGGAAAAGTACTAGGAAAGTGAATTAAAAGAGTAGCAAAAGCATACTAAAAGCACAACGAATTACACAATATTGTGCTATTTTCTAAAAAAAATTCCTTACAAATTTAATTAATAGGGAAAACACTTATAGTTACATGATCTGAACTAAAAAAAATTGATTACAATAGAGATTTTCAAACTATGCAATCTAGAATTGAAAATTAAACTTGACGTAGTCGAAAACACTGAATATACATCAAAAGTGTAGTAAAAGCACAGTGAAAGCGCATCCAGAGCATGGTGAAAGCGCATTAAAAGCACAATGAATTACATATTGTATTCTCATTTTCTTTAAAATTTTCCTTACAAAATTAATTCATAGTGAAAACACTTATAATAAAATGATATGAACAAAAAAACTTGAAAATTAAAATTGACCATTGTCTAAACCACTCATTACGAAGCTAAAGTGGAGCAAAAGCACGGTAAAAGCACAATGAAAGAGTAATGAATTACACATTATATTGAATTTTCTTAAAAAATTCTTACAAATTTAATTCACAGTGAAAATACTTGAAGAAAAATGATATGAACTAATAAAATATAAAAATTAAAGTGGACAATTATCTAAACCCCTAATTACACAGTAAAAGCGTAATAAAAGCGTATCAAAAGCACATTCAAAGTGCAGTGAAAGTTCTTCCAAAGTACACTGAAAGAGCAATGAATTACACATTGTGTTGTTAATTTTTAGAAATTTTTTCGTACATATTTAATACATAGTGTAAAATCATTACTAGCATGAACTAAAGTAAGAAAAAACTAATTTTATTATAATAAATTTAATAAAAACAACCAAAACTCCAAATTTTTCCTTACCCCATGACCTGACTGAGCAGGTCGAACCCCGCTAGGGGCCACTATCCTCTTGGAGCCCAGCCACGGTGTTTTGCCCCCTTGGACCCGACATATTCCCTAAGTATACCAAAAAAATATATTAGTCATTAAGGATGCAACTCTTTCACCTTCAATTCTTCCTCTTTCTTGTTGTTTGTATACCGCCTTTCATATTTCGCATTTTGTAGGCATATCATCACCTCAAAGAATCAACGTCCTCCTTAAAATTATTCTTCATCTACATTAACTCTTCCTCATTTTTTCTTCCTCGGTAGATATAAAAAAATTATTGAGCTAAAATCCTATATATTGCAGAGCATTTTGCGATTATTTTCATCTAAAAAAAGAGTGTCAAGCCTAAAATCTAAATTTAAAGGGGATGTTGAAATTCTAGGTCAAGTTGATCGCGCTGATAAGATAAAAATTAAAAAATGAAATTCAAATTGAATATCCACATCTTTAAACTATGTGTCATGATTTAATTGGAGTCCAGATGTAGAGCTACGTCTGGACTCCGCACATAATAATTTCTCTTCATGCTTAAAGGCTTCACTAATACATTTGTTTTTTCGATGAAAGACTATTTTAGATTATCATTTTTCAATTTGTATTAATGATGTGTTAAAGGATTTTTCAATTCTCCAGCATTATTATGAATGGGCTCTTTAATCTTTTTAAAGATGTTGTTATTAACCACTCTTTTAAAGGTTTCACTGCTAGTGACATTAACATTTCACATTTTTTATATATTGATGACCTTTTTAATTTTTGGCTTCTTATTTTAATGCTAGATCTTTAAAAGCCATTCTTCACTAGCGGTGTAAATGAGTTGAGTTGAGTCGAGTTTTGACCTTATCAAGCTTGGCTTGTCTGCCATAAGGTGAGCTCAAACTTGAGCTCAAAAAGCGAGCTCAACCTCTGCTCATCCTATTGTAAATGAGCTTGAGTCGGCTCGCAAGCTTTCGTCATCTCGTTCCAGCTGCTCTCGATCATCCGCACCCATCCCACGCATAAACATACAGTCATCTTTCATGCTCGTGCCTGCAACATGCCTCGTGCTAGTTGTCAGCCTTGCACAGGCCGCGAACTCCCTTGAGGCCATCACGTCTAGTCGACGAAGTTCCTTGGTTAGTGAACATCTAACATGAACTAGCAGGATTTGAAGCAACAAGATTTTAAGAAATTAAGCAGGAATTTTATAAGCATTACTTTTTTTTTTTTTGAAATTGCATTGGGATTCGAGCTGGCTCATAAGATTGTGAGCCGAGCCTTATTAAGCTCGAACTCAAGGATATTTAATAAATGTGCTCGAGCTCGGGCTTGAATTTTGAGCTCGATAAGCTTGACTCATAAGCCCATAAATGAGTCAAGCTCGAGCCGGCTCAGCTCACTTACACCCCCTATTCTTCACCAATTTGCTTCTTTTGGCTTATGCATGAACCATCCCAAAAGTGTTATTTTACTTTCTAGGAACCTTGCAACTGTTAATTCTATTTGCAATGAACTAAATATTGACCCCACCTCTATCTCCTTTAAATTTGTGGGTTTGCCTATTTCCTCGAAAAGGCTTTCGGTTTTTATATTTTCAACCCCTTATGCAAAAAAATTGATACTTTACTTAATTGTTGGAAAGTTAAGACTTTATCTTTTGCTGGTAGAATTCAATATCTGAAATTAAATATTTGTGATACTCTAGCTTATTGGATTAAAGGTGTTATTATTCCAAAAGCCTATATAAAATACATCAACAAGATTTGTTCTTAATTTTTATATTTTGGCAATGTAAATTTTAAGAAGCTTAATATCCTTTCTTAGAAGGCTGCTTGTCATTCTACAACTTATGGTGCTATTGGGATTCCTACCGTACAATCTTTGTATCATGCTTATTTTGCAC